GCTTCCAATAAAAACATGGCATTGACAGGAGGAGGTGATGTTATTTGCTACTTCATAGATAAGGCGTAGAGAAAATATCTCACAGGATCTCTGTGTTCAGGTGAGCAACTGAAATAAAGAAAGACTGTTGAAAAAGGGCTTGGTTTCAGGCTCCTGCCTTTTATGGCTCACAATCTGAGTGTTTTATCCTAGGTCACACAAAAATCATCCAGATCTTCTGAATCCCACTCTAGCCACCTCCTTGCTCCAGTCACAGGAGTATTCTTCCTTGCACAAAAAAGAGTAAATACTGGCCTTGGACGAAAGCCAAACTGGCCCAATAACCAAAATTATATAAATACACATTTTCAGAAAGAAGAGATGTTTGTTCCTGCTTTTGCATCCAGCAACTGCTCTGTTTGTGGTTCAGCTGAGCAGGGAGGTCTGGGAGGAGCAGACCCACATGCCGATTGGCTTTTGCTTGAGTCATTCCATTTTGGTAATGCTTTATACCATAAAAGTAATTTCTTACCTCTCCATGAGAAACCTGTGACAGGATTGCATTTTACATAAGGTTGGGAATGAAATTTAAACACTGCCAGATTATATGGAGTGTTGGACACCTTGGCATTGTAGCTTCTGGGGGAAGGGGACGGCTATGTGTTGAGAGATGCAGAGTGGAGAGGCACTGGGTGGGAAGATGGATTGTATTCAGTATAAAACTCTGACTTGGACTGAGGCTGCTAGGTTTCTGCTGAAAAGATTGCAGGAGAGTAGGTGAAGACTGATAATAAATTTTATCTTCCTACCTTTTAGGCTGAGCTCTCCCAGTGAGAGGAAGTGGGAAGTGGCTTGGGGAGGCAAGGGGAGAGATGGATGACATGAGGCTACGTTGCAAACCACTTCTATTTATCCACAGCCTACTTCATTACGAAGAAGTGGTACTGGCCAGCAGGGAGAGTGGTTGCGAAGTTTCAAGACAGGTTCCCTGGGCTGTACTGAGGCACAATGTGAAGCCACTAAGTTACTATCGGGATTACTCTATTCTTAACATCCCAGCATGTGTTCAGCCCCTACATACCACTATCTAAATATAGTCCCTGCTGAAGGACAGATGCTGCCAAGTTGTATCTGACCCCTCCTCTCTTGCATTCTGTTCCTGAAAGCTAGGCTGAATTCCCCAAGACACGTCAACAGTCAGCATGTTCTTTTGTCTGCCTAGGGCTGTACAAAGAAACTTGTACTGTACTGTTAAAGCCTGATCTCAATCCTAGCCTTCCTGGCCCCTCCTAGCACTGAACTTCCTTTCAACACCTTTTCTTATTCCTTTCCTCCTCAGTCGTTGCCTTACTCTTTTTCTTTTTTTATTTATTTTTTTTAATTTTTTTTTTTTTTTTTTTTGGTATCAGCTGCCTCTGTCCTTTCCCTTCTGTCAGATTGAACATGATCAATGGGAAGAAGCAAAGTAATGAAAGAAAAGTGTGTATGTGCATGTACATAGCTACTGCAGACCCAAACCTCTCTGACAAGTGCTCTTTTGTTGCTCCAGATCTCCTGCTGAGAGAGCGGGGACATGGACAATTTTCTGAGTAAATGTGTTCCAGTTTTTCACATTGATTTGTATTTCCCATAGCATAAATCCCTAAGATTCTGAAACTGGGATTTTCTAAACCCATCTGAAATCTAAACAGGATATACCTTGACATGAGTATGCCATGGGAGTGTTCACTGAGGCATGGAATGGAAACTCTAACAGCCAGTTACAAGAGGCTCACAGAATTTTTGGGGCTGCTCACACAAAAGTAGAGGTCAGTCTTTGCCAGTATGTGCTGGAAGGTCAGACAGTGCAATCCCCAAGGCCAGGTCTGGGGCCAACGCTGACCACTTGTCAGTCTATCAGTGCTGCTTCTCATTTTCACAAGAAAGCTCTCCAGGTATATGTTACAGAAAGCAGAGAGGTTTTCTCTTTGAAACACCAGTTTTTCCAACTTTTCCCACTTCTTCAGAACAGCTGTTGGGTGACACCTTCCAAGCTTTCTGCAGCTTAAGCAGAAGCTTCTTGTTAGTGACACCTCATGTGGCTCACTGGGTGCCCAGGAGAGGGCATCTTTTGGACATGGGGAGCAAGTGGCTGATTCTGAGGGCAGCCTGACCTTCAGGATGGGCAGGGAGCCTGGCTTTTGGACTGGGCAGCCACCCTGGCCTGGGGCCTCAAAGGCTCGGTGCTGCCCTCGCTGTACTCGAGATGAGCAGGTTACGGTTTGTCATTAAATTCTCTACAGCACAGAGCTGGCAGTCATATAAAAACTGGCAGGCTTGTGTTGGTCTCTGTCCAGAGGCTCTGCAGCCTCCATCACACTGCACCCTGCTGTCATGGCTGTGGATTAAGTCCTGTCCTGTCCTTCTTTCTCTGCACAATCCTCTTCTATGTTTAACCCCTTTGCCTTCCTCCCTGGCAAATGCAGTGGGGTAGGGGTTTGGTGTAAAAATGAAGCTGTGGATAGCTCTTTTCCCTCTGATCCCAGGAAGCAAATTCATAATCTTCCAGGGAGTGTTTATAAATCAGTAGAAGACTGAGCCAGACACATGCTATTTTCAGACTGTATAGGTCTATTCCTGCACTGGAAGAGACCTGGTCCTATTTTCCCAGAAAGGAATGGAGACATGGAAAAATTCCTCCCGGATTGTAGAGCTCTGAAGTACCAATAGTTGCTTTAGTGCATGTGCTTTGAAGTCCAGTGAAATCTGAGCACAGACCAAGCCAAACCCAGCATCCTCACTAACCATTAGAAAAATGCATTGCCTGCTCATGATTATCAGCCCACACGACCTGCTTGAGTTCCACCAGCCTTCTCTGGTATAAAGGTACCTGAAACAGCATCAGGCAGTGTTGGGAGCACAGCCTGATCCTTCCTGCCTGGGAATCCCAAACAAAAGGTTCGCAGAGACTTGCAGTACTGAGGAAGTTTACTGCTGTTTTTCTGGCTGGTCACCAGCTTACATCCTTGGTTTCAGTGAGCAGGGAGGAATACCATAGGATGTGAGGAATGCTCTGAGCACTGGCTGACAGACTTTAACCCCCAGCCCCCTCACTTCACAACTGGGAGAGATACTCAGCAAGTATTTTCCCATCCAGTACTTGGCTATGGAGCAGCAATTGGCCTTTTGGGGAATACTGGGAAACCCTCCTTTAACCTCTTTTAAACCATAACTATTTTCATTAGCTGCTATGTCAGCAAACAGCACTGGAAAATGTGTCTTTACCTTCTCAGTTGACAGCTGCATCTGGAGGAAGTATCAGGAAGCAGCATTTATACTGTAACAGTGGTTCTTCAGCAGTAGTTCATTACAGACCTACACATGCTCATTCCAGGCTTGTATTAACAAGGAGGGAGATAAAGGACTAAAATGACAGAGGCTGATGGATGTGGCAGCTGGGATGAGACAGTCCCTATTTTAAGCATGCAGGCAAGATTTGGGGTCAAGTTGGAAAGGCTACAGAGTGATAAAGTACCAGTGAGCACAAAAACAACTTGAAGCATAACCCTCCTCTTTCCATCTTCTTCCCCAACACCTCTCAGTCCTGCTGACAGGCTGACCTGGGAGGAGTGTTGCTCTTGTCTGCTCAACACAGGCCAGCAGGGTCAAACCCAAGGCACTCACACACCCCATGGGTGCAGGGGTCCTGAGCCCTAAGACCAGCCAATCATGCCATGGGACTTCCTTAGGGCTCCAGCTCTCCCATCTCCTGCTCCTCTGCTGCTTCTGCAAGAACAATGGCAGGGGAGCAATCCTCCCACATTCACTTCTCTTTCCTGAAGCTGCCATGGGAGTGTGGGCAAAGTAGCTCTATGGTGTTATAGATGAGTCTGGTGGCTCAAGCAGCAAGGCTATGAGATATGGGCAAAGGTGCCCTGTTGAGTATTACTTCTCTGCAGGGATCTGACAGTCTGTTCACTGCACCCTCTGCTAAACAGCTGTGCACTGATTTGTCTTTCATTTAACTGCAAGATCTGAAGAAATATTCTAGAAGAATCTACAAATAGAATGCAATACTACCTTGGTCCTGACTTGCTCTGACCCACTGATTTTACCTGGCTATTATGTGCAAAATGAGTACATTATGGGTGCTAAGATGTCCTACAAGACTATCCCCACTACTTGCCTATGTGGGAGAGGTCTGTGGTTTTTGGCTGACTGGGCATTTGGTTTTCTTGCTTGCTTATCCTAGCAGAAAGGCTAGGCTGAGTTGGTAAGAAGTTTAACTGATGGATAATTGAATGAAGGGAGAGGAAACACTTGGTGCAAGATGGCCATGAGAGGCTAGATCTAGGAGCTTGCCTGGAACCAGTGACTCCGACTCCCTTCTCAGATATAGCAATGCATATCTTGCACAACTCCTGTTAAGGCTAAAGATTTATTCCAAGTTTACACTTGTGTAACAGGACACCATATGGCCTGATGCAGATGTCCAGAAATACACTGACCAAAGCCATTGGAACAGGAATGCTTAACAACAGAATATGCTTCAGAACTGCCACCTCTCCCCAGTGTCAGCTTCCCTGAGGATGGTACTTGCAGAGGCTCTGCATGAGTCAGGGATCATACCAAGGAAGTACAGTAGGGGCGTGCAGAAGGACATACGGTCATGTGCAGGCATAGTCTGTTCCCTCTCTGAAACACAGACTCCCTAACCAACTTAGGAGACAGGGAACAAGAGGAGAAGAGCATGTAGATACTCTTGAGTCTTTCATCTGCACTAAAGAACTTGAACAGGGTTGGTGATCAGGTCAGGCCTATGCTCAGCAGAGTGGTTCTTGGAATTAACAGGAGCAGAGGCCAAAAGGCACAGCCAGGGCTCATTCAAGAGGATTAGTGCTCCACTCTGTCAGCACAGTTGTCTTAGGCCTTATTTTATTCTGTGAGGAATGGAGCAATAGAAGGGCCAGCAAGAGACAAACAACTGAACTGAATAGCTTTTGTTCTTCCCTTCATCCTTATCGTCTCTCCTGCTTTTTCAGATTCGAAAGAGAAGCAAAGCGTGCCGTGGAGGCCTGTGGGAAAATGATGTTCTAGTATCTATCAATGGGAAGTCATGTGCTGGCCTGTCCCATGCTAATGCCATGCAGATCATCGATTCCTCCAATGGCATGCTCAACATCCGCGTGAAAAGGTAACCTGCTCCCAAGTGCCAGTGCTAACAGTGCAGGCAGTAGGGTGGTTTCATCCAGTACAGCAGCTGTCCACATCCAGCAGAAACAAGGTAGGCAGGAAGCCTTTGGTTTCATCATAGTGCAAGGTGTACTAGGAGGACTTACCCATGTCCTAACATGTGGACATCTCAATGTTTTTCCCTGTCTTACAGTGGGCTGTTGTGGTCCAACAGTCTGTATACTGACTTCCACAAAGATTAGAGGTGTGTGACTAAGCCCCCTTTTTATGGGAAGAAATATCTCTGCTGGTCTCTAGTTCAAAAGAATACTGGAGATCAGGCTAAATTTATGGACAAAAAGTAGTGTCAGTAATGTTCCTCGTCCTCCTGTGCTAAGTTAACCTGGTGCATCAGTGCCTGCTGGATGCTGCCCAAGCTATAAATGAATAATCCTATAAATGAAGGCAGCAAAGCTTTGTGAGGTCCTAAGCAGTCCACACTTCTGCCTAAACAGAAGTCAGCCTCAGAAAATCAGGCCCTGGTGAATGGGGCTGGGAGATGTTATCTTCTACAGCCTTGAAAGGACAAGGGAGAGCACTGTGAGCATTAGGGAGGGACAGCCATGCTGGTTGCTGTCACTGATAAAGCAGGAGCAGAGGTGGGCAGCACTCAGAGAAGGAAAGCCTGAGCATGCAAGATCTTCCCCTTGGCTTCAGAGAAAGTGCCGGTGCCTTCTGATGTGCTCGCTCTATACCCTAGCTGTGATTAAGTGGGATGAGTAAGTTCTATGCAAGGTGTCCAGAATAGCTCCTGGTCCCTTGCCAAGGCCTTATTTCACACTGTTGGAACCTATCTGCAGCCAGCAGGTGCCTGGGCAAATTCTAATCGGTCAAAATCAGCACACTTTGAATTCAATTTGAAACACACATTTGACTTTGTCACAACAAAGTGAAAAAGGCAGGCTTCTTGCAGCCCTCTGGATGGAGCCGACTCTGGATGGTTTGGAAATAATGTAATCAGTTGGCCTCATTTGGAGTAGTGGAGAAATCATCAAATGTTGCTTTCTTGATCACATATCTATTCCCACTTAATCTTTACCTTCCCAGAGAAAACACCAATCATTCCTGTTCAGAAAGGAGAGGTAGCTGGATGACTCTGGAGTATGTGTATTTCAGAAAAAGAGGAAGGGAGAGACACTGACAGTCTCCCAGGGAGAGACCTGACAGTACAGAACAAGAGAAACTGGCTTACAAGCAGTTACTGGCTTTTCAGTTACCTGGTCAAGTGTTTACAGAAGAAGAGGAACTGTTCTGTTTGGCTTGTGAAATGTTGAGGTTGCTCCCCAGTGAGATTTCATAATGGCAAATAGTATTAAAAAATAAACTGCCAGAGAAATTCTCCCACCCTTAGCTTCCACAAAAACATTTGATATAAATATAAAATTTCCACAGTTTAGAATTGAGATCCAAGTCATGAGTTCCACAGCTTTACAGAGGCAATGCTGTCTGCCTGGCTTCATGATATGCATGTTCAGAAAGCAAGTATTTAGGACTCCTTCATAACTCTTATAAACCCTGGTGAGTCTGACAAGACAAGAAGCAAGTTCCCAGCTCCATCTGTGTGGGCTGGAGTCAAACTGCCATTGAAATCCAGACTCACTCTTAAGGAGAGGGAAGACAGAATGGGCTCTTTTCCTGTCAGCACAGCCAACTCTCCTTACCTCTGGAAGCCAGCAGTAGGGTTGACTGCCCCAGTCTGCCCAGCACCTACCCCAGTCATCCTTCCAGATGTCTTAAAGTTTCTTAGGTTTGAAATTGCTATGTCTAAGCCAAAGGCAAATGCCACCATGGATTATGGCCAGCATAACTGCATATGGTGGTCAAAACCCAGGTATTGATAATTAGCTTGTGAAGCTAATTGATAATTGATAATTATTAGCTATTGATAATTATTAGCTTGTGAAGCAGTCCCACAATGAGCAGGCTAAATATTATAGAGGTCTCCTACCACTGGATACCATAGTCCTATCCCCAAAAAACGCTTGGGCCTTTACATCTTGAAGATTTGCTATTTACTCCCATGTAGAGGTCAGAGGAAACAGGGGGCAGGAGGTCAGAGGACTTCTTGGGAGCTCAGTTTGAACTAAAGTGGTTTGGGGGTGCCAGGATCTGCAGATCTGACAGTCTCAGCTGCAGGAGCAGCTGGAGTGCAGTGGGATAGCTGAGCTCCAGTCATTCTCTGCTGACAAGCCACCAGCTGAAGGGTATGTCCTGGGGAATGCTTGCTATGCAGGATTTCATATCTCCAGGAGAAATGCCTGGGGAGCTGATTAAGCTTGGTAGATTTTCATGGTTTTAGGGCATTCTGAATTTTGAATGTTTAACACCTGGTTTCCATAGAGCTGTGAAGCAGAAAATCAGAATGAGAGCATGTAGGTGATGTCAGGGATAAGTCTGTTCTTGGAGTCTGTATCACCTGAAAAACATCTTTAACACTGTCCCAGTCCATAGCCCTCTCTCACACCAGGGTTTCCTTCCAGTTTAGCTACACAAACCAGACCTCACTCACCACTTTTCCTTCTCCCCACAGGATAGTTGGTGGGGACCAGACTGGCCCGAGGCTCCAGCGTTCCCCTTCTCCAGGGCAGCAGGTGCTCTCTCCATCATCCGTGCTCAGCCCCCCGGCACAGTTACTCAGCTCTGAACCAGCAGGAGCTCCAGCCACCACACAGCCCTCACAGCCATGGAGGTCACAGAGGCATCTAGAGAGCCTCACATCCCCACCGGACAGCGAGGCCTACTATGGTGAGACAGACAGCGATGCTGACAATGTGGCGCAGGAGAAGCACCGCCGGGCTCGCAAGAAGAGCCCACGCTCCCCACCTGAGAGCACCACCAGCAGGGCGGACGCACCTCAGGACGAGGTGTCCCTGTCTGAACAGAGTGGCTACGAGAGCATGCCGGAGGCTGCTGCACAGGGGGGAGCAGAGCTGGCTGGCTCCAGCAGGGTGGCCAAGAGGGAGATTGTCTGCCTGCCTGGCAGTCGCACAGACACTCCGTTCTCAGACAGCGAGGGACAGTTGCAGCCACCATCAACAGAGGGACGGGAGCCCTCTCCAGAGGCAATGCTCCTGCCCCATGCCACCAAGGCTATCCGAGCGGAACGCCATCTCATCCCCATGGTGGGGCCAGTGGAACACCCGATTGATGAAGACCTAACCACCACGTATACAGAGAAAGCCAAGCAGGCCAGTAAGTCCTCTAAACTGCCATTCACCCATGCCTTTTCCTTGTGCTGGATTCTCCTTCCAAAAGCCTGATTCCTGTAAATGTCAGGTGGGTTAGTTCCTCTAGCTTACAAAGGAGCACTAGTCAAATCAGACCTGCAGAGACCAGAGCTTTCTGCTGCAGCTTTGGCGCTGGGGTCTACCTCACCCAAGACATCCTAAGAAACAGATTAAGAGAAAGAGTCTGGAGTCAGGGTTCTGGGAGTCACTCACAGAGGCTGCAGCCATTCACCAGATGTGCTCTAGTACCTCTGCATGCTGGAAAAAGGATGGATGTCATTGGTTTCTTCAACACTTTGGGGTTAGAGGACTCAGGAGACATAATGGGGTCAGGAAAGAACTTGGAGGTTAAATTTCCCTGGCTTTCCAGAGATCTTATGGCAGCTTAGTTTTCTCCTTCGCTACCTGTGTATTAAGCACAGAACCCTCATTTCAAGAGGCTCCAAAGGAGCCCTCTCTTCAGTTCAGCTCTCCATGGCAGTGTAGAGTTTCCAGAGGCATGCAGTATTACACAATTAAGGATGATGAGAGATAATTTGCAGACAGCATAGCTGCAAAAGAGACTTCTCAGTAACTGATTTATTTCTCTCACCCTATCCAGCTCAGGGAGGGACTCTTCTACATCAACTTTATCTGCAGGCACTCACTCCAGCAAGGATGCCCATGTCTGGCAGCAGCTGGTGAGTTCAGGTAGAATTTATAATTTTTTAGGTGTTGGCAGTGGAGGGTTGCCAGCAAGGACAGCTGGTAGATCAGGTCTTGAAGCAGGTCCTTGTAGTGCCATCCCTGATAGTCAAGACTTTTCCATGTGGAATAAAGTACTGAAAGATGTAGTGTAGTATATGGGTGATAGACCTGAAGTGACCTTAATTGTAAATATCTTTCCAGGTTTCTGCTGCACATGAAGTATTTCAAGCCCAAACATGAGGGCAGAACAAACTGATTTCACAGTTTTGATCTATCTAGTAATATTAAAACCAAAGTAACCATACACTTATTTTCATATATGTACCTCAGTGTGTAGTATAACTGCCTGCTTTACATTTCTCTGAGCCTGGAAATAAAGCGAGTTTTTAAAAAAGTGACTTCAAAAAAGTGACAGAATGGAAAACAAAGACACAGAAAAGTTACTAGACTGTGGACCTAATTTTCTCTGAGCCTGAGAGAATTACAGCCTGTCAGTAGCTGATCTGTTTCCAAGGGGAAGTTTCTTGGGAGCTCTCTCGCTCAAGGATAATACTTGTAAACCATTTTACTTCCTCAAAACAGTTGTGTATAGCTGCAGATAGTGTGTTTTTCTCTTGTCCCACCAATGGGACAAGAGGTAGTGTTCCCTTAACCAATCATGTTAAACCTGTAACGTAAGACCCTATAAAAACTGAAAAATTCAGAAAATAAAAACCCTTTTCCTAACAACTCGTTCTAGTGTGTGCTGTGAATCCACACTTCTACATCATGTCAAACAGTGACAACTAGACTGAATCAGAAAGAAAACACGTGGATTCTAACTTCTGATCCTCTGATTTAAATGCTAAACATTTTACCCAGGACATATAATACTGCAAGGCAATTATTAAACCTCTATTTTCTCTTCTTCTTGGGCTAAATATTATTTTATCTGTTCTGTGTAAAGAGTTCTATAGAGGTAACTTTCAAACCTAGGTTCTTCCTTCAGTCCTAGTGCTCCTTCCACTGTTTAGAAGGTTGGGTCCCTTATGTCTTGCTCTGCTGGGCAGTGCACCTGATGCCTTGTTCTATTTCTTCCTAGTCTTTAGCTCTCATTTTCCTTAGGACAGGAAAGAAATCAGCAATTTCAGCCTCTCTAAAGATGAAGTTATTTTTTCCCCCTTTGAATAATGTACAAGCATGAGGTGAATGTTGAGAAAGGCATGTTCAGCTGCTCCCTGCCACCTGATAGTCCCAGCAGCAGAGGAGCAATTGCTTTACATCAAGACTTATTTCCATGGACGACATCAGTACAGAGGGATCCCAGAAAAGCTATGTATTTAATTCAGAGCATTTCTGATGGCAAGATAATATCCCATGGCAGGACATGATGCAACAATATTGCCAGCTGGAGTTAGGGTTCCCAGAAGCAGACTGAGGTAATATTTTATTCTCCTATTACTCCTTCACTGCTCACCCTCTTTTTGGTTTATGTTTGGCCATGGGTGTCCTTCTGTAGGAGTTACTCTGCCAGGGATGGTAACTCACATCATCTTTTCTTGCATTAGAGATCTTGTCAGTAAATGAGAAGGCAAAATACTACATCCTGATCATGCTGAAGCACAGCAGCCATTAAAACAAAAGTCCAGTTCAGCAGCTAGTGACTGTGAGGGAAGGAAACAAGTAAGGAAGAGGGATGGAAGGAGTTCATTATGTGGTGAATAGAGCTAAAGAGCACCCGTATAATAAACAGGGGTATAAACACAGCTGGAAAATAGGGGACTGCTGAGCTGCACTGGCCCCATGGGAGGCTGCTTGCAGAGAAGCTGTGGACTAGCATGGGAGGACATGGTAGATAATCTCTTGCCAGAAAGGTGTAGCCTTTGCAAGGATGTCATTGCTCCAGCTCCTACTGCTGCTCTAGGCTCCCATGGAGACAGCAGCATTTAAAGCTCTGTTCCTCTGCCTTTCCTTAGCAATACCTACAGCACAGTAGCCTACTCTGGGACACAGACACTCCTGGGTTTTGCTAAACAGGAATGTGAAATCATGGTTTAGAAGTTAGGCAGGGTTTTAAAACCTGACTTAGCTCCAGAAAGTGACTTGGACTATCAGCTGTGAGGGTCTAAGTATCGATATACAGGCAGGAGACATTTAAGGGCCATTGTGAATTCCTAAGCAGATGGCTGCCTTTTGAAGCACTATCTAAATATATTCCCAGTGCACCTACTAACACACCCTCCTTGCCCTGCCACGGCCTTCTTCAGCTCCCACCACTGCACCATAAGAATGTGAAAAACTGCTTTTTGTTTTGTTGGGACTGTTCCTTGGATGGTTCCTTATTCTTTCTTCCACAGCTTTCCTGTACTACTTTGTTATGTCTGCCCTGATGTTCACTTCAGTTTTGGGGTAGTTCTCTTGTCCTTTGTTTAAATTCATTCTAACTTTTCACTGTCATTTTTAAGCTCCAGAGACTGTCTCCCTTTCCCACTTGTCCCTGCACCTCAAGCAAACAGAATTGCAGGTACATTATTTCTAGATGAGTATATAGAAACATCAAACCTCTATATGAATATGAATAACTGAAACCCCAGAAAAAGATCAAAGATACATAATAATTCTTTTGCACACCACCAAGAGTAACAACTGACATTCTTCACTGCTCTATTGCCATGCAAGGATTTCAGTAATACTGCTACAGCTGTCAGCTCTTGGGTTTTCTGTAGCTTTGTTCTTTATTTCCTATCTCTAGAACTTTTATAGACTTTTGTACTCATTGTGTGTGCTCCAGAGCTCAGAGCTTTCTGGATCATAGGTCAGTAGATTCAGCTCCCCTGTCTCCCCTTTCCTATATGATTTTCCTTTGTTTCTGATGGTGTTAGAAAATCTGATCTGTGCTGACCCTATATTGTCCTCAAGATCATCAATGAAATGAGGAACTGCTTTCCGTATTCCCTCACCACCTTTCCCAGTTGTACCAAGATGGGTGATCAGTCTTTATGTTCTGGTTGTTACTGAGGCATTTTCTCTTAATTTTCATCTGATAAACATTTTTCCAGTGCATGTAATTTTTTGCAGAAGCTCCACCAACACCTAGGAAGTACAACTGCTTTCCCTGCTTTTGCTTAGAGGATATAAATCACGTGGTAATTGCTGGAGGTGATGCTGCTGTTTGACACCTGCTTTGCATCACAGTAACACGGGAGCAAATGGAGCCCCCTTATTTATGCTAAGCGGGGCTTTGACTCCAGGAGCAGAACACAGTGTGGCAGCAAGTACCAACGGCCCAAAATCAGGATGTGGCAGCAGCTGATGGTGCCACCTTATGATGTCCTGCATGTCATCAGCTGCTGAGCTGTGCTTTTTCTTCCCCAGCAAAGACACAAGGTCTTAGAGCTCATTAGAGAGCCAACAGCCCCTGCAATGAGGTTTGGGCCTCTCTCCTTCCAAAGTTCATGCTCTATTTGCACATTGGTATTGGCTCATTTTTTTCAACCTGTGGGATAAGCATGTATGTCATCCCAGTTCTCCACAGGACACATGACTTGGATGTGCCTGCTTAAAACCCATTCAAATCAGACTACTGGGGCGCTGTGGGGAGCCACACATCACTCAAATGCAGGGGAACTTTCCCTACAAGTAAAAAACTTGTGGTTTTTTGGTCTGCATCACTACCCAGTGGCTTCTGTGCACCCTGGTGTTTTGCTCAGTGGGGTGAGAGAACAGCCAGCAAACAGGGACTCTGCTATATTATAAATGAACTATCAACCAGTTATGTTTGTGAACAGCCAGTATTTTGCCTAATCTGTAGGAAAAAAAGTATGAATTTATTTCCTTCCCACTAAAAATGTAAATTGCTCTTCTTAGAGGTGATTAATCCATGGGGAAACTCGGGATCTTTAGGCCCTCAGCTTGTCATCGCTGTAAAGGGCCAAGCAAAGTCCCTTCCTGAGATGATTTATGTGCAACTTGCACAGTGAAGAACAAAAGGAAGAGATAGGAAGACAGAAAATACAAATTAAAAAATCTAAATCAGTTTCAGGAGGTTAACAGAAAGCAGGAAGCTTGTGGCAGGAAGAATCAGACAACAGTTGTCACAAGTAATTGCAAGTGAGGTTTTTTGGTTCCCCATAACTTCCAGTGTCCTTCTCTTCTCACCCCACCTTCAGAGGCTTGAGATCCATCTGTAGCCAGGGCTGCTTCTTCTCAGCCACCTGAGGTGCACTGTATTTTCACTCCCATCCTAAATCATCTCACAGGACAAAAGGCTCAGCCTTTCTCACAACTGGAAATAGGATA